GACTTTATACGTATCTTGGTGCTTGAATAATCTAGAAAATTTGTATATAAAGGTAAGGAGCAAGCCGGGGCTCATCCAAAGGCAAGGGCATAGCCGAGTGAAGACAAAACTGTGAGTAGATTCTAATCTTAGATCTATTTCAACATAATAACAGTATTCAGGCCATGAAGCGGCTCCGATATAATATGTGAATTTATGGGAAATGATATGGCTATGTGATATTGTTTATTGGTGTATATTCATTATCTGCATCTGGTATGAAGTTAAAAATGCATGAATTGAGGATGGGATATGGAAAGGCATTTTGTTGGTTGATCTTGTGAACGCCTCTGCAAATTTCTACTGTGCATATGCAAATCATTGTTGCCTCTGCATCTGACATTTTGTAGAATTAGCATGGTTATGTGATCTAATGATGAAAATGGTTGAATGATCATGAAGTGGAATGTAATTATCATATGGCTTGGTTTTGTTGATTTATTGTGTGGATTATGAGTAAGTATTCGAACTTGCGAACCTGTCATGTCTGCTTAGATTTGGAGTAATCCATTAGGCTTACTAATCCTGTTCTGCTTGAATAACTAGGAGTAAGCTCCTCAGCTTACATTCTATTATGTTGTGATTGAGGGTGCAAAAGCACTATGAATGCTTCTGAGCCTATAGTGTATAAGTGAACCTACGGGTTAATGATTATTGACATGTGTCTAAGTGAACTATTAATGAAAAGAAGTGAATACATAAGACTACGTAAAAGGGCTTTATGATACCTCAGTACAGTAGAGTATCCTGTTTGTATCGATATGGGTAAACCCCACGATACTCCTGTTTGAGCGCTCGTGCTCCACACCGTGCCGATTGGGTGACTACCCACGATACTCATGTTCTGTTCAGTTAGCCGGGCTGGGGTAATCCTGTGGCAACTCATGTTTTCTATTGGTCCAGGTTGCGTCCCGCAATACTCCTGTTGGTGCAAGCACTCCTGTTTTGTGCCTTGTGCACTCCTGTTCGTACCGGACTGGGTTTTATCCCGCGGTACTCTAGTTATCTGATGGCTGTACATGGTTACCCTGCAACTTTCCACAACTGTACTACCCGGGGAGGATATCATTTAGCAAATTTGAAAGTGAAATTGTATAAGCAAAATGCCTTTGTCTGTCATCTGTTTTATGTGTTTTGACTGTGATGGGATGTGAACATGTAAACTTGATTGATTCAGTGGAATGAAAAGTGTGATAAACAACTTAAGTCCTGTTATGTGCTAGGGTGTTTCTGCCCAATACTGTTTTTGTATCGATGTCGATCTGAGCTTAGAATTTATTCACTGAGCGACGACTCACTATTCGTCACCATTTTTCCTAAGATCAAGATAAGAAGTAAGGTCTGTACTGTAGATATCGGGACTCAAGCGTGAAGGGAAGCCATGAGGTGGGCGGAGGACTCTGAACTCCTTAAATGTTTTATGTTGTGTGGATTTTGTAATAAAGCGGATTTCCCCAGTTTTCTGTTTTGACTCTGATGCAAATGTAAATTATGGTTTGAAGTTTGAAAAAAAAAATACACTGAGCATGGCCGGATACTACGGAAGTTAACCACTGCACCGGTTCTTGCCCTTCCCTCAGGAACTGGAGGTTATGTGGTATATAGTGATGCTTCGCATCAAGGGTTAGGATGTGTTCTCATGCATCATGGTAAAGTAATTGCTTATGCTTCCAGGCAATTAAGACCATATGAAATCCTATGCGACTCATGATTTAGAACTGGCGGCTGTGGTCTTTGCCTTAAAGATTTGGCGTCATTATTTATATGGTGAGACTTTTCAGATCTTTACTGATCATAAGAGTCTCAAGTACTTGATGGAGCAAAAAGAGCTAAATCTTAGGCGGAGGAGGTGGGTAGAGTTGTTGAAAGATTACGACTGTACCATTGAATACCACCCAGGTAAAGCAAATGTTGTGGCGGATGCTTTGAGTCGAAAGACCAAGCATCGTACTGAAATGAGGAGACTGGTTTAATGGCAAATTTGATTTCTTTTAGAGCTATGAGTGTTGAAATGGAGATGAATTCCGCAGGAGAGTTATTGGCCACTTTACAAGTGTGACCAATTCTGAGAGAAAGAATTATTAAAGTTCACGATCAAGATCCTGAATTGAGGAAGATTATTGATAAGAGTCGTAAAGGGGAAGAAACCAAATTCACACTTCGAGATGGAGTTCTGACACTAAATGAAAGACTTTGTGTTCCAAATGTGGATGAATTGCGAAGGGAGATTTTGGAAGAAGCTCATTCCTCTCCTTATGCAATGCATCCTGGAACGACAAAAATGTATCGTTCGTTAAGACCTCATTATTGGTAGCCAAGGATGAAGAAAGAAGTGGTTGAACATGTTTTGACGTGTCTGGTATGTTAGAAAGTGAAAGCTGAACATCAAGCCCCAACGGGAAAATTGCAACCACTTTCCATTCCATAATGGAAATGGGAAAAGATTACCATGGACTTTGTCTATGGTCTACCTAGGACTCAGAAGAAGAACGATTCCGTTTGGGTTATTGTGGACTGATTGACAAAGTCGGCTCACTTTGTACCCATTAGATGGGGTTGTTCACTAGAGTTACTGACAAAGAAGTATGTGGAGGAAATAGTGAGACTACATGAATCGGCTCCGGTATAATATGTGAATTTATGGGAAATGATATGGCTATGTGATATGGTTTATTGGTGTATATTCATTATCTGCTTCTGGTATGAAGTTGGAAATGCATGAATTGTGGATGGGATATGGAAAGACATTTTGTTGGTTGATCTTGTGTATGCCTCTGCAAATTTCTATTGTGCCTCTGCAAATCAGTGATGCCTCTGCAACTGACATTTTGTAGAATTAGCATGGTTATGTGATCTAATGATGAAAATGGTTGAATGATCATGAAGTGGAATGAAATTATCATATGGGTTGGTTTTGTTGATTTATTGTGTGGATTATGAGTAAGTATTCGAACTTGCGCCACCTGTCATGTATGCTTAGATTTGGAGTAATCCATTAGGCTTACTAATCCTGTTCTGCTTGAATAACTCGGAGTAACCTCCTCAGCTTACATTCCATTTTGCTGTGATTGAGGGTGCAAAAGCACTATGAATGCTTCTGAGCCTATAGCGTATAAGTGAACCTATGGGTTAATGATTATTGACATGTGTCTAAGTGAACTATTAATGAAAAGAGGTGAATACTAAGAATAAGTAAAAGGGCTTTATGATACCTCGGTATAGTAGAGTATCCTGTTTGTATCGATATGGGTAAATCCCACGATACTCCTGTTTGAGCGCTCGTGCTCCGCACCGTGCCGATTGGGTGATGACCCACGGTACTCCTGTTCTGTTCAGTTAGCCGGGCTGGGGTAATCCCGTGGCAACTCTTGTTTTCTATCGGTGCGGGTTGCGTCCCGCGATACTCCTGTTGGTGCGATCACTCCTGTTTCGTGCCTTGTGCACTCCTGTTCGTACCGGAATGGGTTTTGTCCCGCGGTACTCCAGTTATCTGATGGCTGTACCTGGTTACCCTACAGCTTTCCACTACTGTACTACCCGTGGAGGATATCATTAAGCAAATTTGAAAGTGAAATTGTATAAGCAAAATGCCTTTGTCTGTCATCTGTTTTATGTGTTTTGACTGTGATGGGATGTGAACATGTGAACTTGATTGATTCAGTGGAATGAAAAGTGTGATAAACAACTTAAGTCATGTTATGTGCTAGGGTGTTTCTGCCCAATACTGTTTTTGTATTGATGTCGATCTGAGCTTAGAATCTATTCACTCAGCGACAACTCATCCTTCGTCGCCATTTTTACTCAGATCAAGATCAGAAGTAAGGTATGTACTGTAGATATCGGGACTCAAGTGTGAAGGGAAGCCATGAGTGGGCGGAGGACTCCGAACTCCTTAAATGTTTTATGTTGTGTGGATTTTGTAATAAAGCGGACTTCCCCGCTTTTCTGTTTTGACTCTGATGCAAATGAAAATTATGGTTTGAAGTTTGAAAAAAAATATACAAAGCTCAGGCCCGAGAATGTTTAAACTTGATGTATTTTATTGTTTTTTTTTTGTAATATAAAGTAAGGGTGTTACAAGAATACTACTAACCATAATAAGAATTACCCTATTAGTAATTATAATAATAAATATAGAAACCCTAATGAAGTTGGTTTCCATCATCTCCTCCCCCTTCAAACCAACCTTGTCCTCAAGGTTGACCGTATTGACCCAAATTTTCTTACTTTCACTGCAATTTGTAAGCTGACTAACCCATTTCTTACGCTTCCGTTTCTTCCAATCGTGCTCCACTCTCTGACTAGGTCTTCTTTCTTCACCCTCCTGGGGCTGCCCCATGGTCGTGACTTGAATTTCCGGTGGCGTGATCCTCGTATCCTCGAAGTATTCAAACTTCAATAATTCTTCTTTCCCAATAATCGACCTCCGCCAACTCAAGGAACGTAAGAATTCATTCTCGTTCAAGAACTCATCCTTAAGTCCCAACTCATCAAGACCTTCAAATTTTATTATTGGAGGTAGCCCATAAACTTCTTCAATTGCATTTAGCCCTTGATCTTTTGCAAGCCCACCAACTAAGCCTCTACACCCTTCCTCTAAACCCACCTTCTTCAAAACACAGCCCATATTGACCTCAATCCCTTCCTGTCTCGGCCCAACGCCATATAATAGTGCACTTGTTAAGTTGTACTTGGGAGGTCCCGAGGCTGGCCCGTGCGAAGCACATCTCGGCTCCACCTTAAGATCTTCCTCGGCCCACTGCAATCTCAACTCCGGCCCGTCTTCAAACTTCCTCTCGGCCTGTTTCCTCCCAACACTTTGCCCACCTGTTCCCCTCAGCTTCAGCCCGCCAAGGTCTAAATGAGTCAGCCCAAAGCTTGATCCGTCCTACCCGGTGTCCCAGGAACCCGCGCGACCCACCAAACTCGACCGCTGTTGTGTTCGACCCAAGGGCGGGACCCTAGGTTTCGCGAGAAAGTCGCCGTCGCTCTCCTCCTTTTCCTTCTTCACCCTCAGCATCTCCTGCGGCAGCGACGGGATTCCCCGACGGCAAGTCCACTGCTTCCGTCATCGCCTTCAATCCCACCTCCTCGTCCATCGTCGCCTCGAGCGGATCTTCGTTAGTCGTCGCTGCAAGGAGAGCCGCACCGCCTGCCCCTGATTGCGCCTCCCCGTCGACTGCCTGCTCGATCAAGAAGAGGGAAGCGTCGCCGCCCTCCCTCTTCCTCCACTCCCGCGCCTCCATCATTGGCGGTGAGTCTTTCTCCACCTCGACCTCCGTCTCCCCGAGCTCGCCTCCCATTTACACCACCAATAGTATTCATGTCGACGTTGCCACGATCGGCTCTCGTTTACCAAAACTCAGCTCCGGTGGAACCTTCTTCTCCTCAATCCCCGATGGCGAGACAACAGCCTGCCTAGTTCCCGTCGCCGCAACTGCATCTGCCGGCGACGCGACACATCTTCTTTCTTTATCGATCGTCGACCGGAATACCCCGCCGAATCCTCGAACAGTGCGAGAAGGGAAGTCGTTGCCACCCTTCATCTTCTCTCTCTCCGGCGGCGAGGGAGGAAATTCACAGCCGCCTCCCTTCTTCTTCTTCCTGAATTTCCAATCATCGATTGGAATTTCTAATAGGATTGGGTTCGTTCTGGAATTCACCTTCTCCCATTCCAGATCCGATGCAGGCTCCTCAGCGCTCGATGTAGCAGCCGAAGCCGCTAGGGATTGCTCACCTCCCATCGCCTTTGCTTCTTTCTTCGACATGATGCTATTCACCGGCGAGACCCCCCGGTAGCTCTTCACCGCCTCTTCCTCCTCTGTAACGTTGGCTTGAGGAACAAAAAGAACTATTTTCCCCGACTCTTTGGTGGCGGCGACAGTAGTCCTGTTCGTGATTGCCGATGATGAGACCTCATCTGGTTGGATAACTTGAGTTGTTGTTGGGATAACAACCACGATTGGTGGTGCTAGCGGCGCCAGTGACAGGTGGTGGTGGTGATACCACAACGGTGGTGGATGGTGGCTTAGTTTGCCGAGGCGAATCGAGGATTCGTAAGATCTTTTCCATCAACCGTCGTTGCTCTGCCGACCGTCGTTCCCACTCCTCCTTCCTCTTCTTGAGGGCATCCTCGATTGAGAGTTGTGGCGAACTCAGATTTTCGGCCATGGCTCCGATACCAAATTATAGAACTTGGGATCAGGGTTCTACCGGGTCTGGTCGTGAGATTGGAATTTAGGGATTAAGAACATAATTAGGGATTTGAGAAGAGAAAGATAGAGAATCGGCCTAGGCCTTTAGAGGGATTGAGATCTAGAACTGAGAGGATTGGGAGATTAGGGTTTAGGAGATTGTTTCTTAATATTCTTCTTATTGATTCCAAATGACTAGGCCTCGTACATATTTATATCAAATATAGGAAAACCCTACTAATAAACCTAATTCTACTAGAATACTACTAACCATAATAAGAATTACCCTATTAATAATTATAATAATAAATATAGAAACCCTAATGAAGTTGGTTTCCATCAAAAACATCCATTTTGTCATAGGTTTTCTTGATATGAAGGTTTTCTTGGGGAAATCGACCCCACTTTGTCGTATTTTATGCTTTTCCAGTGTTTTCGATGAAATTCCAGGACTTGAAGTCATCTAGGATTGATTGGGAATCGTTTGGAGTTCATCTTATCACCATTGGGAAGCATAGGAGCAACAAGGGAGGAAAAAGCACAGGTCATGACCACGCCACGAACCTTGACCAAGTCGTGTCCATGTTCGCGGCCGTGAACAGTGGCCTAAAACTTCAGCAGGCAACCATCGAGAGTGCAGAAAATTTCGACACTTGATTTGTGGTTAATGAGCTTTCTGACCACCAAAAATATCACGCCCGTGACACCAAAGATCGCGGTCGTGATCTCATAAATGAGGTAGTGATCTTGAACTTGAATACGATGTCAAAATGCAAAATTTCGAGTGATTCTGCGTCGTTCCAGGCTGGTCACGTCCAGGTGAAGACCACGACCATCGGGTAAATCCCTCGAGGTCGTAATCTGCATCAGGACACTATAAATATCCTCTTTTATGCAGTTGACAAAGGAGAGCTTTTCGAGGGAGAAACACCTTGGGAGTGCTTAGAGGAAAATCCAATCCACCCAAGGAGCAAGGAGGTGCAATCCAAGGAGAAAAAGATGGTTTCCACCATTCCTCCTCTTCTTAGTTTGTATTTTCTCCCTTTATGACTTCAATCCCTATGGTTGTTTTGGAAAGATGAACCCTAATTTATAGTTTGTCACGGGTTTGTGTATGGATTTGTTTGTTTCAATGATTATATGCTTCATTTATACTTGATTATGCTTGGCTTGTCTCCCAACTCTTCCCTACTAGCCTACAGCTGAGTCTCAGAACAAGGTGGGAGTTTTAGAGTTAGACTGGTGAGAGCCTTAAGGCTAATTAGAGGTAGATGGATGATTCTTAGGGTTCCTTTTAGTGGATGAGGCGACCAAATCCCTGCTAGAGGAATGCTTTCCTGAGAGAATGCTAGAGATGATGCATAGGGATGGCAATTTTGTCCATACCCATGGGTATTTTACTATCCAACCCAATTGGGTTGGGTATGGATTCCAAATAAATGGTAGATGGGTAGAGTTTGATGGATTTGTACCCATACCCATTTACTTTGGGTTGAGTTGGGTTTATATCAAATGGATTTGGGTTTGTACCCATGCCCAAATACAAATTACAGTTTGGTACACAAACTTAATAGATATGCAGATTTAGTACCTAATTTTTTTTTTTTTGCATATAAGTCCTCAAAATATCGATGAAAAATTACGTTTTGGTACCTAAATTTTTTTGGTCTTACATTTTGGTACCTAAACTTTTCAAGTTTTACAAATAGGTCCAATTTTTGTGTGTAGTTAAAACACCCTCAAGTAAATGGATATCCATGTCCAACCCATACCCATTTACATTATGAAAGCAATATCCATACCTAACCCAAACCCATCTACAAACTCCCAAACCCATATACACTTCATCCAAACCCTACCCATACTAAATGGATTTATTTGGATTTGGGTAAAATTACCCATGGGTGGGTAATTGCCATCCCTAATGATGCAAGCATCATCGATCCCTAGCTTTAGTGGGCATGATAGGTCGAACCTATTGAGAGGATCTAGCGGTTACTCCTTAGTATGTGAGCTTTGACTAAGGTGACAATGGGTCTCTGGGAGCGTACTAGGAGGAGGTAGAGTAATCCTTGAAACCCTCACTTTAGCGAGTTCCACACCTTAACTTTTAAACCCCAAACTATATCTAGAGGAATTCAATCCTAGGCAATACAAAATCCATAGCTTAGTTATACTTGGCTTTATTAGGAGTGACTAGAGTGTGCTTCAACTTACAAATTGAAAGATCGATCAAACGCATCAGAGGGAAGCTAGACTATAGACCGTCTCCTCTGCTATGGTTATCCCTTGCGATCAAGAACAAGGAAGGAGATTGGGGATGATAAATGAAAGAATGAAGTCATCAAGGAGAAGCCGAAGGAAGAAGTTGCCCATGATGCGCCATTGACGGCCCATAGTTTGTCGTTGATACCTAAAACTCTTCAGCCTTTGTCTGTATGTTGCCACCCTCGACTTGTATTGGAAAACTCTGCCTCAGAGTCACAGCTTTAGGTGATTCATGAGTCGAGGGAGTAGAAAGTGAGCTACGTTGTAGCATTGAAGAAGAATTGAAAGTCATCATCTGATCGCCGGTGTTAACCACATGGAAAGTGAAGATCTGGAGGGATGCATTGGAGGGGGCGACTGGAGGGTTAGAGAAGCGGAGGTCTGGGTGCTCTAGACAAAGGAACAAAGGAGGGGAGAGGATCAACATAGAGAATTTTTTTCTATTTTCTTAATGTTTTGTTAATTTTAATTAAAATTTATGACATGTCAATAACATGACATCTACGTGACTGTCACTGTTTGACATGTCAACGAAAGTCAACATTAATTTGACCACCATTTGGTTAACCGTTATCTATAAAGGTCAATGAGAGCGTTAAGGTACTAAGTCACAAAGAGGACATACGTGACATTTTTTGGGGATAATTTAGGTGATGTAGTGGTATTAACACAAAATAACAACATGGCGTAATGAATAGCTATTGAAAAATAAAGTAATTATAATTAATGTTATATTTACTTATTGGCATAAGAAGACATAACTAATTAACTAACTATACTGCTGATTACGTTGGTGGATTGCTGGTAATGAAACCGACATGAACACCACCAGTATGATCGATTTACAACCTCTAAGCAAAATGACGTTGTTTCAGTGAATCTAATTAATAAAAATTAATTTATTATTTAGTTTATGAATTTCAAATTTAAAGGTTGATATTATTTGTTGGATTCAAGTACAAACGATCAGATATTGACGTTAAATGTTGTAAATAAATATGAGTATTTATTATTTAATTTGAAATATTGTATCTAATTTAAATATAAATTCAATTATAAGTTCATATGTATTTTGGTAAACCGGTACAAACCGTACACCTCATCGAACAATTACACTTTGCTAAATCGGAGCAAAGATATAAACTTGTTTGACAACATTGATACAACTACTTATGATTAATATTGTAGCGGCCGTTATTATCTGGACCGACAATGTAGCAATATCCCTTGCACACTCGTCGATCGCAGCCACGTGGACTCCTACCTCCCATCAACGTACACTTTCAATCAAGGTTGTCAACCCGCGGTTCGACCCAGATTAACCCGGACCCGTTGCTAAAAACGGGCTACAGCTGCCTAGTGAACAATCAGCCCAGATTCAGTCAAACCCGACGAACCCGGGCGGTTTGACCGAGGGAGAGGGTTAGCGGGCCTCCTTCCTGTGCGGCGCCGTTTCAATTTTGGAGTGTCCTCCCCAACATAGACCGCCGCCCCAGGTCGCCGGAGTCTTCCTCCCAGCAATCGGCGACCGCGCGCCAGCCGCAAACGGCCTCCCTTCCTTTGCTCGCCGATCTTCGCAAGAAAGCAAGTCACGCTGTCACCGGATCTTTGCAAGTCAGGTAGTCGCCGGATCTCTGAGTTTTCGCCAACGATCCATCTGGACCTCTGTGATAATCGCGGAGAACATAGGGAGGTTTGGTTAGAATTTGTGGAGAGGCTCGTGACGATGGAAGAAGCTGGGTTGGGGCAGTGTTTTTCTCTGTTCCGAGAAGAGGAAGAAGAAAAGGAAAGAGAGGGGAAAAAGGTGAGAGGCAAGAAAGAGAGAGATGGTCTAATGGTCGTGAGGGAAAGAATAAAATAAAAAGAGAAATTTTTGGGTGAAATTAAAGGGGGAAATTTGGGTGGGTGGTTCACTTTTTGGAGTTAAATAAATTTCGTCAAATTCAAACCCCAAAATTTGTGTCAGTTACAGTAATAACCGACACACATCCGCTAAAAAATTGTGCAGTGTTGCATTTTTTCTATGTTGGATTCAGGATAAGTATAATATATTGACTTTTTTCATATTTTTCGGACTAATCCAGGCTAATTCGAGCTAATCAGAATGATCCATTAACCCTTGACCCACTAGCTGATCCAGGTCTGGATCGACCCGCGGGTTGACAACTTTGTTTCCAATCGCTCCCCTATCGGCTATTAACCACAAATCCCACGCGGATACTGACATGGCTAAACCTAGGAGTGAACAAACACACTCGCAAACCGACCCACCCGTCCAACCCGACTCAACCCGCCTGTATTTATCTCTAAAACTAAGGTTTTGGGTTGGATGAGGGTTTTATTTTGTACAACCCAGCTCTTTTGGGTTGGATTTGGATTACACAACCCGTAGAATCCGACCCAACCCGTGTTCCAACTATTGATATGAGTTCTTATACAAAAAATATTTATCTCGTATATAGTCATACTTATGAGAAAATTAAGATATTTCGACATGTTTTTTTCTCATGTTCTCTCTAATCTAATGCATTTTTCGGCTTAAAGTTTAGACATAGATTTAATATATCTATGATTCACGTAATCCTTTTTCTTGTTTACAATTTTAATAGAATAACATATTATGGATGCGTTCTTTTATAACATTTTTTGCCTATTTCAACAAATATCGTGAAAAAACTAGACATATGTTGAAGTAAATCATATTTTATTAAAATTTAAACAACATATTTTGAATTTTGATACCTTTTACCTCGTTTTATTCGTTTGAAATTTTAATTAGTTATAAAATATTTTATGGTGTAGGATAATTACATATTTTGTGTTGGGTTGGGTTTTTACTTAAAAATATCGTCAACCTGACCCAACCCAACCTAATTAGAAACAAACCATAGGAATTTTTTTTTTAATTTGGGTTTAATATTTCCCAAACCATAGTGCATGGATCGGGTAATTAAAATGTCTAAACCCATACCACCCGACCCATATACGCCTAGCTAAACCATCATCATAATCAACCTTACCGCACAGGATAATTACCCCAACGCAATTCTAACAATACACCTTTCTAGGGACACGAAGGTAAAACCACAATTTCCAATTCTCTCTCTTCTCCGGACCCGGAGCTTTTCTCCTGTCCTCACTGACCACAACAAAAGGCAACGATCTGCCTCCACCGCTCGATCCGATGGCAACGATGTCGTCCTACTCCCGCCCCGACACGTGGTGCTACTAGTAACCGGGCACAGCCAGTGACCCACTGGGTTGGTTAGTGGTTCGGCCGGTCAGGCGGTCAATCAAGCAATCCCCCCGCTAGGTATATAAACCGGTCTCTTTTCTCTCGAGCGCCCTCTCCCTCTTCCTTCCGGTTCTGTAGTTATTTCTTTCCCACAAAAAATTCGGTATTAATACAGTGGAAAGGAAGGGGAAAAAAAGAAAAAAAAAAAAACGCTTCGCTTTATCCAGCTCGCCGTTTCAAGGTCAGTAGCTTGGCTTTGGCTTCCATCTTCTTCTTCTTCTCCATTCCTCCTTTTGATTACATTTGGAAGTTTATCTGGCCTTCCAATGATTTCTTCCTTCCTTCTCCCCCAGTCAATTCATGCTGTCAGTGGAGCGGTTTTGGTCTTTTGATCGATCTCTCTGATAGCTGGGATGAATTTATTTTTCTCCTAGTCCTTCCCCAGTCAATGAACGATGGGTCTGCTAATTTCCGTCGATCGTTTCAGTTATAGAGCTAGGTTACTGAATTAGGTTTGTCCTGGTCGATTAGAAGTTCTCCTGAGTGCGCCAGTGTGTATTTGTTTTTATTTTTGGTGTGTGTGTTCTCTTTCTCTTCTTTGTTATTTTTCTATTCGTATGGTGGGTTTTGGATTGAGTTCGAGCAGTCTCTTGTTCTTCTGTAATGTGTGTGATCGAGGGGACGGCGAGCTTGAATAGCCTTTTACTGGAGAGACTTGTGCGATTTTGCTGCGGGTGTGCTGTGAATTGGGGTTCAAGGGGATTGTTTGTTAGTGTCTTTGTGGTTGAGTTTAGCTGTTTGCAAAGTTAGGGGTTTTGTGGGACTATGCAATCGATTAATTGGGGAGAGTTCAATTTCTCAAAAAGCTAATTTCTTCTTTTTTTTTTTTTTTTTTTGGCGTATGTATTCTTCTCGCTGGTGTTGCTATTGTTTAGTTGTCATTTGCTTAGATCTCTTCAATCAACAAATTGTTGAAAGCTCAAACAGATAATGAAAAACTGCTCCTCTTTTGGTCCATACAAGAGCTTTATAGAAATTGGATTAAAAGAAAACCATTGATCAGTAGCCCAATCTTTGCAGTTGGATTCGGATTTTGACTCTCTTTTTGGGTAGTTGCGATTCTGATTTTGTTGTGACAAATCTGGGGTTGTGCTTTTTTAGGGGTTTCGTGCGTGTTGTGATATTGAGCTGATTGAACATATTTCAGGCCCTGGCTCTGGAAAGCTACTTAGACTCCAGCCACCAGGGAGGAGTGCCTTCCATGGCACCCTCTCGTGTGGTTGGAGGGTTAGCCCAATCTTCCTCAAGTTCTGGAATTTTCTTTCAGGGGGATGGGCACTCCCAGGCTGTACATAACTCTCACTTAGCCTCATCATTTGGGAACTCATCCAGTTCGATTCCTGGGACTGGGCGTCCCAACCTGGGTCCAGTTTCTGGGGATATGAATAATGCTGTTTTAAACAGTGTCGCAAATTCTGGGCCAAGTGTTGGGGCAAGTTCATTGGTGACTGATGCGAATTCGGCATTCTCTGGAGGAGGCCCTCGTTTGCAGAGAAGTGCCAGCATTAACACAGAGTCGTACATGCGCTTGCCAGCTTCACCTATGTCATTTTCTTCCAATAACGTAAGCATCTCTGGCTCTTCAGTTGTCGATGGTTCTTCGGTGGTGCAGCAAGGAAATCACCAAGAATCTAGTGCACCACAGCACCAGCAAAGTCAGCAGCAGCAACAACATGGGGCTTCAAGTGCTACATCTTTACCCTCATCACAAATTGGGCAAATGTCACTTCCCATGGATGGGCGAGTTCCTGGATCTTATTTTCAGGACCCTAATTTATCACAGGTACAAAAGAAGCCCCGGTTAGATATCAAGCAGGAAGATATTCTGCAGCAGCAAGTGTTGCAGCAGATGTTGCAGAGGCAGGACCCCATTCAGATGCAGGCGCGTAACCCACAACTACAATCACTGCTTCAGCAGCAGAGACTGAGGCAGCAACAGCAGATTCTCCAATTTATGCCACCGATGCAGAGAGCCCAATTTCAGCAACAGCAGCAGCTGCAGTTGAGGCAGCAGCAAATGCAGCAACAACACCACCAACAACAGGCCATGCAGCCGACATCTGTTCCCGTTAAGCGTCCCTACGATGGGGGTGTATGTGCTCGACGGATGATGCAGTATCTGTATCATCAGCGACAGAGGCCAGCTGTAAGTATCTGTCTTGCTACATCCCAAATGCATAAGAGTATTCTGATCAATGGTTGTCTCACTCTAGCCTCCCTTATGTTCAAGGGTATGCCTTTCAATCTAACCATATATCATTGAGAAAATTCCTTATCTAATTCCTATTGCTTTGCCAGGAGAATACTATTGCATATTGGAGAAAATTTGTAGCAGAGTACTATTCCCCTCGGGCAAAGAAAAGGTGGTGCTTGTCATTATATGATAATGTTGGGCATCATGCACTAGGGGTATTTCCCCAAGCAGCAATGGTTAGTTCTTTTTCCGTTGGAAAATCTATGCTTTCTAGTTTCTATAATGCTTATTTGGCATCTTTTTTATTCCTTCTTATTTGCTTGATCTAGAAGAGCAGTGTTATAGTTGTGGGCTTCAATTTATCATTTACCCACCATTTTATTGCTAAGCGGTCTCACCTTCTTTCAGCTGAGTTTTTGTAACAAGGTGGGTTTGTTTCCTATTGGAACTTAATTTCTTTTTATGGTATATATATGTAGGAGGCATGGCAGTGTGACATCTGTGGTTCGAAGTCCGGAAGAGGATTTGGTAAGTGGATATGGCGTTTTAATCTGGCTTGGATAGGCTCTTTGGAAATTATGGATGTAATTTTTGACCATGTTTAGGACAGAATTCTAGATGACGTCTATTGCAAACTTGAGTTTTCGCCACGATCAAGTCTCATGACATACAGTAGCATTCATATGGTTTGTTTAGCGCCTCATAATGATTTAAGCACTATCTGGGATTATTTTTCTTTTGTAGAGGCAACTTTTGAAGTGCTACCTCGACTTAATGAAATAAAGTTTGGTAGTGGCGTCATCGACGAGCTTTTGTTTTTGGACCTGCCTCGTGAATGTAGATTTTCTTCTGGAATCATGATGCTGGAGTATGGTAAAGCAGTCCAGGAGAGTGTATATGAGCAACTTCGTGTTGTTCGTGAGGGCCAGCTTCGTGTTATATTCACCCACGATTTGAAGGTCAACAGCAAAGCATAATTTTTTATGTGCTGAATTATCATTTTTAAATTACAATTGCATTAATATGGTATTTCTTCGGTGAATTTTAGATATTGTCCTGGGAATTTTGTGCACGGCGCCATGAAGAACTGCTTCCTCGTAGGGTGGTAGCTCCTCAGGTATAATTGCTTCTTCAATCTGTGAATAGCAGCCCTGCTTTGAACATATGATGGACTACATGTTTTTCTTCTGCCCCTACCACTAGCCACAACCCGTGGGAACTGGAGTTCTGTTTACTCTTCTAAATACCTGTTGTGCTAAATGTTCATGGTTCGTAGGTTGAACTGCTATTTACAGTTCGAAAAGCAGAAGGTTGAATGTTCAGGATAAAATGCTGGAATCAATCTCACGTGTATCCTGTTCGATACATCCTGGAAAGTGATAGCTTTTGAAACTGGATGAGATTCCAGAAATTTGGTTGGCACAAATATATGTTTGATTGAGTTATTTCTATGGTGGAATCAGTTGATCCTGATAGAAACCCAATTTCCGGGTTTTATCATAATTACCATAATTAATATTATTAGGATTTATTTAGATATGGTTAGTAATATTTGGGTTATATTAGGATAGTCTATTAGGTTTTCCCGGTCTTAGGCTATAAATATGTATTCTAGGTCTTTTGTTCAACTAAGCAGAAATTAATAGAAAAGTCATCCTTTCTCAAAGCCCTAATCTTTTTCTCTCTCTCAAATCTCGTCTATCCTTCTCTCCCGAGGCTTCGGCCGTTCTTTCTGTTCTTCCCCAATTCTGTTCCTAATCCCCAATTCTCTTCTAAATCCCTAATTCTCTCTAAATCCCTAAATTCCCCATTTCCCAACCCAACCGATAGAACCCTAGAAGCAGGTTTCTATCATTTGATATCAGAGCCATAGTCACAAATCTGAGTTCGTCACAACTCTCAACCAGGGACGAACGTGTGTTTGAAGACCTCGAACCAAGCATCACTAGGACGGAGTATCGTCGGCACGTTCGCTTCTCCTTCTTCTTGCCTGGGTTCGAGAGAGAGCACATAGAGGTACAGAGAACGACATTGAATGAGCTGATTATTACGGCCGAGCGTCCATTGGGTTATGACCATAGATGGATCCGTTTCAAGAGGCACATCGAACTCGAGGAATTCTACGATGTTGCACACTATAGTGCTGGATTCGGAATATGCAATCTCAACGTCCGGGTTCCAAGGATAACTCCCCCAATTGTAGCCAAAGAAGATGATCCGGCCGTGAAAGACGTCAGCGACCAGCAGTCGCTTCCGACGACCATCGCAGGGCTTCCTGATTCGCTGCTTTCAACCACCGCCACTGTGAAGGTCGAGAAAGCAGCTGCAGTAGCAACTGTTGTTCCTGTGACATCCCCATCATCGCTAGACAATCCTTCACCACTCGAGATAAAAGGAGGAAGAGAAACCCCTGGCGTCGGAGCCGCCGAGCACAGAAGAAATCCCAATAGTCGCCGCTGTGAAGACCAATGAACGGAACCTTGCAGATGAGAGGTGGAAGTTCAGGAAAAAGAAGCGATTACCGAGAGATAGCTTTGGGTGCAAAGTCACCGAACCCACTGTAGCTTCTGGGGAAGTTGAAGAAAACTATGACGCTATCTCCGAAAATGAGAGGGCCTCCGCCACCAAAGAAGGAATCCGAGCCGAGGGTTCGGAATCAATGCGGGGTTGTGTGACGAACTGGCGGTACAGGAAGGAGCCCAGCGTGAGTGTTGACGTCGATCGACAACGTCAGTCAGAGCGTGATTGCCGAGATCTCTCGCAAGCAGTGCGACTAGAAAAGAGGGCGTGAGGAGTGATGACGGCTCCCGAAGCGATGACGACCGCGGAAGGGGCACAGTTATGGGCGAGAGCGGGAGTGGCCTAGGCTGCGCGCCGCCGGAGGGATTGTCGGCCGCCAAGGAAAGAGAGGGAGAAGAAGTCGCCGCAGGAGGAAGCGCCTGGAATGAGCCTGGAGGTGGAGCGGCGCTGCCTGTGGAGTAGTCTGACGCCAATGGTGGAGACGAAAACCAGGGAGGCAGATCCAGAAAACGGTGTTGTTCTCCTCGAAGCGACGACGGACTGGAAGTTGAAATTGAAGGTGATGGCAGAGTGGGGCTCGCCTCGCCGCTGTTGGAGGAGCTGTCGGCAGCCGGAAATGGAGAAGGAAGACGGAGGCGGTGCATCTCCTCGCGCACCGTTAGAGAAGATGAAATCGTCAGCGAAGGCAGGCGACGCGACGAGGAAGAAGAAGATGGAGGAGGGTGGCGGCTGGTTTCCTCGTTGCACAAACCCTAGGTCGCGCACCTTGGGTCGAGTTAGGCTGCGGCCGATTCAACCGGGCCAAGCAATCCGGGTCGAGTGGCCTGTTGGAATAACTCTCATGTCAAAGAAGAAAAGAAGTGGTGGGCCGGATCTGGTGGAAAAGTGGGGCAGCTTAGGGCTGTGGCAAGGCTCGAACGCAGAAGAGGCAATGGGCTTCACCATTAGCTGTGAGCCTCATTTTTTTTTGGAGCATTGGGCCACCATTAATTGGGCCGATAAGAACAATTTTATGGGTGGACTGGGAGGAAAATGAAGATGGTTTTGCTAGCTTATTTGGTGGACTGAGCAGGCCAAGAATTAAACAAGGTTTGGCAGCCCATGGACCAATACTTGGGCCATTTATGAGTTGTCTTACATGGGCTCTTCTATGTAGTATGGGGTCGAACCCAATTGCTGGGCATGAGTGGACTGGGAGGAAAATGAAGATGGTTTTGCTAGCTTATTTGGTGGACTGAGCAGGCCAAGAATTAAACAAGGTTTGGCAGCCCATGGACCAATACTTGGGCCATTTATGAGTTGTCTTACATGGGCTCTTCTGTGTAGTATGGGGTCGAACCCAATTGCTGGGCAAGACCTATCAAGTGGGTCGCGTGTGCAGGGAGGGAGTGAGCCCAACATGAGTTATGTCTTAAATAAAGTGGGCTTGAAGAAAAATGGGCTCAATGAATTGGTAAGTGGGCTTTCAAGGAGTGGGCTTTCAAGGAGGTATGAACCCCATGCCATTGGAGAAGCAAGAATGCAAGTTCGTGGGATAGCTCCAAGGAAAAAAATTATGGGCCTTGAGAAATTGGTACTTAAGGATGCGTTCTTGAACAAGAACGAATCCTTGGATTCCTTAAATTATTCGAGTTTGAAGTCAACAAAAGAGGAGCCATTGAAGTTTCAGAGTGTCAACGAAGCAAAGAGTGGGTCCCTGAGAATGAAATTCGAAGAGTTGGACCAACATGATGAGGGCGGTGCAAGAAGCCCAAGTGAAGGTTTAGAGCATGATTGGAAGAAAAGGAAGCGGATGAAATGGAGAAGCCAAGGCGTGGAGAAGAGGATCGTTTCGGCAAACCTTGAGGGCAAGGTTGGTCTCAAGGGGGAGGGGATGATAGAAACCCTATTTCCAGGTTTTACCATCATTACCATAATTACTATTATTAGGATTTATTTAGATATGTTTAGTAGTCTTTGGGTTATATTAGGATAGTCCATTAGGTTTTCCCGGTCTTAGGCTATAAATATGTATTCTAGGTCTTTTGTTCAACTAAGCAGAAATAAATAGAAAAGTCATCCTTCCCCAAAGCCCTAATCTCTTTCTCTCTCTCAAATCTCGTCTATCCTTCTCTCTCGAGGCTTCGGCCGTTCTTTCTGTTCTTCTTCAATTCTGTTCCTAATCCCCAATTCTCTTCTAAATCCCTAATTCTATCTCTAAATCCCTAAATTCCCAATTTCTCAACCCAACCGATAGAATCCTAGAAGCAGGTTTCTATCATATCCTCACCATTAACCAAATCAGATGAGAAGTATGGAACAAAAGATGAAGTGAACGGACTGTTGACATGACCTATAAAAGAATTTGAAGGGGGATTGTATAATGTGATAATAATGATAAAGTCTGGGTGAAAATTATGGCCGAGTACAATTCTTATTGGGTTGTTCCTTTCAGCTTTTATTGGCCTTATCTCGATATTGTTTTGAGGTGGCTCTCCCTGGTGTGTCCTGCTTGGGCTCTCTAAAGTTACTTGCTGTGTTTCTTCTCCAGTCTGGTTTCTGTATATTTCTTATTTGAAAACAACTTACATCGAGGTCTTCTTCTTCAAACAGGTAAATCAGCTGGTACAGGTTGCACAGAAGTGTCAGAGCACAATTTCTGAAAGTGGAGCTGATGGTGTTTCACAGCAGGATCTCCAAGCAAGTAGCAATATGTAAGTTGACTTTGGCAATCACCCGACTCTTATTATATATTTGGGCCTTTGGCAGTCACCTCAAGCTTGTGCCTCCTTTTTGTTAAATTGTAATAGCAGAGATTAATACCAAGTGACCCAATCTTATTTATTAATTTTCACCAACTTGCATTCTCTTTCTGCTGCACAGGGTCCTGACAGCTGGGCGCCAGCTTGCTAAGAGTTTGGAGTTACAGTCTCTGAATGATTTGGGGTTCTCCAAAAGATATGTTAGATGTTTGCAGGTATATTTCATTGCTTATTAGAATACTGCCGTTTTGTTTTCTCATGTTCACGACGCCAAGAATCTTACTTTTCTTGTGATTATGATATTATACCTGGTGGCAGATCTCCGAGGTTGTCAATAGCATGAAGGATTTGATTGATTTCTGTCGGGAACAAAAGGCTGGGCCAATTGGTATTTCTTCTTCTTTCTCCCTGTTGCACTTGCCTTGTCCATTCTTTCTCTAGAAATTTGGGGGTAATTCATGAATCCATGAAGTCTTTCAAGATGATGCACTCGCTCTGAATAATGTTAGAATTTTGATATGAAGATTATATAGTGCTTTATTGTATTTGCCTGTGTTAACTGAAAATTGATTACTTGATGTCTGGAGGCATCCCTCTGGTAACTGCTAACAAACTTTCAATTTTACTTGCAGAGAGCCTAAAAGTTTACCCTCGGCATAATAACTCTGCAGCCAAGCTCCAGATGCAAAAGATGCAAGAAATGGAGCAGCTGGCAAGCTCTCAGGGTTTACCTACTGACCGGAACACCCTCAATAAGCTGATGGCTTTGCAGCCCTCTGCCGGAATAAATAATGCCATGAACGTCAACAACAACAATAATCACCACTTGGGTAATCGAGGAGCAGTAGGTTTAAGTGGTTCGGCCCAGGCTGCATTGGCCCTTTCCAACTACCAAAATCTTCTCACGAGGCAAAACTCCATGAATTCAAACTCCAGCTCGCTTCAACACGAACCTCCTTCATCTTCCTTCAACAATAATTCTGCCCCAAGTCCATCTTCCAACTTCCAAGGACCTGTCGGTTTCCCTCCCGGAGGACCCATGCAAAACTTACATCAACAACAACAGCAGCGACATCAGCGTTCATCGAGTTCCAATAATTTGTTTCAACAAAACCATCATCAACAAAGCTCTCAAGGCAGCAATCAGGCATTGGAACAGCAGATGATACAGCAACTGCTGCAGGAGATGTCAAACAACAGCAGCGGGGGAGGAGCTCAGCTGCAGCGTTCTGTTTCTGCACAGAATGGGAATGGTGGTTCTGCAGGAAGGAACAGTGTGGGCCCTGCCATCTCTGGAGGTAGACCTGCAGCAAGTCGGAGCAACAGTTTCAAAGCTGCTGCTGCTTCACCCAGTGATTCGTCAGCTGGTGGTGGTGGCGGCAGTGGCAGTGGTTATAATAATAACAATAAAAAGGTTGGGGACATGCCTAATCAAAATTTGCAGCAGCTGCAGGATGACATGCAAGATATCGCTGCTGAGTTTTCAGATAGTGGGTTTTTTAACAGTGACCTTGGCGATACTATGGGCTATGACTGGAAAGCATAATAAACAAGTTCTGGTTTTGGCTCTTAGCTTAGTTGTTTGGTTTTATCATGAGTTTTTTGGCCATCTCGTTTGTGTAGAATTAGCCTTTCCCCTCCCAGAACCGTTTATTGCGAATCTTAAGGGAACAAAACTTATTGTGCTTAAATAGGTAATAGCTGCCATTATTCCTTTCCGTGTTTCTGGTCGTGCAATTTGTAATGTACTATGATGATAACTAGTAAGCTAATATGATATACATTTTCATTATCAATGGTAATCGATGATAACGAATGCCCCCATAGTAACCGAAGCCATAGCATGGAGATGGCTTCAAGTAGTTCATGACCGATGATCGGCAATTGGTCGCTCTTATGACAATCTTCACACTCAGGAGCTAGCCTGGTGGGAGGCATCCCCTTGATCCCTTGATTCTCTCCCCAAAAGTCTGACAACAAAACTGCGCAAAAGAGAAGCTGCAATTCTTCTCCCTCGTAGGGATGCACTGGCCGCTTCACTAGATTCTGTTTCGGGAGTGTACTCTAAGGAGCACTCTCCAGTGGAGTCAGTTAGCTCGACGTCAAATGGTTTCATGAGCTGCTGTCCAGCTGCTTGAACATGAGAGAGACTGCAACCACCGCTTGAAAAGTGCATGTGTCAGTGTAGTGAAGCCAATAGAATGAAGTTCTTCACAGGTTTATAGCCTGTGGAGAAACTGTAGCAGCCGTGCTGGGAGAAAAGAGAAGAGAGTGTATAAAGGGGAACGAGAGAGCACCAGATGTAATGTAAACCATCTATCTCTTGTCTCTGAGCTCTGCCAAGTAGCTCAACTTGCAGAATCCCTCCTATGCAAAGTACCGGTTCTGGCAGCTTGAATTTTTGCAGTTGGCTTTCCTGCAGATGAGGCCAATAGATTGAGTATGCAAATTGGAAAAGAAAATGCTAAAGAACTAATTAGCAATATATCAAAAGCTAAGTATTCGTTGCATAACTATTCCGAACATTTCTATGACCTTTTCCTTTCCAGTTTCTTCTCCGACAGGACTACTCTAGATATGGATCAGAAGCTTACTCAACATAACAAGCAACTGGGGAGCTTTTAGTGCAAGGAATAAGGTAGCATAATATCAGGAAGAGATCGATTATTGACATTAACCTTTAACCGTAGCAGCTCAATAAATCAAATTTTGGCAATTAGGAGGAACTTCGGAAAAGCCAATTATAGCTTAGAATTGACTACCTGAGCCATGGGAAATTCAGGGGAGGTGTAAGACCAGACAAAATGGTCATCTCTTGGTCTATGGCCATAGGTAACAATCGCTATATCATCCTCCAACTCCATTGGGAACTTGGAATGACCGAGTCTAAACCGAACGCTTTTTGATGAGTATATAGGGAACCCATACTGGAAGTACGCTGATACACCGAACAATGAAGTCGTTATGCTTGTCATTCGCATAATCCCATTCTCAGAACACGATAGAGTGAAGGCAAAATAAGCAATTACCTTGAAAAGGCTGAACATGGATTTCAGTGACTAGACATAACTTGGATGCCAACTTGTAAACTAATCTCTCAGGAACGTCTGGATTGGCTTGCCCTTTACTAGACCAGTAGGATGCTCGATCCTCAACTCTATCGCCTGCCTCCAAGGTATTCTGAATCGTCTCTTCTGGGTAATTATCTGTGCTGGATGCACAGATGGCCTCCGAGATGCAGTCTTTCGTCACAACTGGAGAAAGGCCACGTGCCAGAAACGCGTAGACTCTATGGTTCCTCTTGAGCCACTCCCAGCTCCTTCTACAGTCACTAATCCGACCTACCGGTTCAATCAGATTATCCACTTCAATGAGATCAACGTTACTACACATTCCAGGAAACTTCCTCAAGCAGAGCTGTTTGCAGATGCCATGTTCAATCACTGCCAAACACAACCATAATACTCGTACTTCTCAAACTATTCAATTTCACGAAATCGAACAGATGCGTAAGCAAATGAAAAGAGTTAAAGCATACCAAACCGGCGCCAAGAACTTGAAACGGCACAAAGACGAACGAGATCAGAAGGATCATCCAAATGCATCAGAACCTGAATAAACATGTCAACTCCAAGCCATTGCATCAGGTCACCGCACTTTTCCCTTGTCTGGGCCATTGTATAAACACGGATCAAACAAACCGACTGCAGGCAAAGCCTAGCAATTGAAGAACCCCACCTGAATTTATTAAAAAAAAAACGAATCCGATTACCTAAACCAGAAACCCACCAATAATCAACAGCCTAAACACAAACAAAACCTGCTGCAATTTCTCAAGCAAACCCGAAAGTTCATATCTTTATACAATCCCCAGTTACCAACAACGAAAGAACATCAATCAAATCCAGCAGATTAAATTCAAGCACATCAGCAACAACAACCCAAAAATCGTAATCGACAAAATCCAAACAGTGAAACTTCAATTCTCGAGCGTACCTTTCTCTGGGTTTCGACGGCGGCGAGCGGTAGCGCAAAATAGCTCCAACCTTTACGATCTAATAATCCCTCTCAGGATGAGGGGCGCATAATGGGGACACGAAATCGGAGAAGAGGGCAAAAGCTGAGCTGTGAATTTCGAGAGGGATCGAAACAGAGACAAAAAAAAAAAAACGTCGACGCCACCACCGAATGGGACGGCTCAGCAGCCGGCGAGAGTGGATTTCTTGAACTGAGCTATAATGATAATGGAGCTAATAAAGGATAACAATGGATCAGATTTGACGTTTATTTAAAAAAAGAGCACTGTACCTAATCACAATATTAATTAAAAAAATAAACTGGTGTTAACTAATCTACGGCTGTCGATTGGGAATTGGTCCGGTGGTGGATAGAAAATTGCACGCATCCACCGATTTCAACGGGCGGGTTTTGTCGCTTTCTTCTCGTCGGGTCCATCCATGCCACTGCCATCGCCATTGCCATCGCCACGCACCGTTATGTTATGTTATCGTTTGGTGGATCATACTAACATCGGAAGAAACTATGGTGTTTGTTCTTTTTTATGAATAGTAATTATGGTGATTGTTATAATTGTGCAAAACTGCAATGTCTTCTTGTCTTTTTTCCTTTTCAGTTTAGAACCCAAAGAGGCAAAATAACGACACTTATTTGCAAGTTATACGTTGATGTCATGCACCAGTGGTCAGTAGGTCATGGCTTAGATCAGGGTGATGAAACTCAAAGAATCTCTACTGACAATTATTCAATGAAGAAAGTACTTTTTGTTTTTGTTTTCGGTAGAAAACGACGAGATGATAAAAGGGGCCGTTTTTGAAACATCGAATAACGAGGTGTTGTTATTTTAATGTGATTGAATTACAATCAATAAGTTGAAAATAATCGTTTTGAGCATTAAGTAAGTGTCCTCGTAGTGGTAGTAAGTATCAACGGGTGTCTAACTAGTCAAAAATATAATTAACCTCATGAAAAAAGAAAGGGAAAAAAATACGAGAAATCTGTCGAGTTTAGTAAGCCTAGTGCAAGTAGAATAATTTTTTCGAAAGTTTATTGATGAAACTGTAAGAATGGTAGAGAATTAGGGGAAATTGAGAGAAGAATTTCGAATTAGGGATTGGAAATTGAGAAGGAATAGGAAAGAACAAGAGAGGAGTTGAGAGAAGGAAGATTGAGAAGATAAGAGATTTTAATTCTATTTTTTCATAATACCAAAAAAGAAAAAAATAATTCTCACACTTTAAATAGGATTGTCCACAAATAACAAACTAACAATTAATAATAAAATACCCAAATACACAAATAAGGTTGAGCCCTTACCCAACTCGTCCGTCGGGTTCTTGACATTCCCCTCTTCTGAAAGACCGACCATGTCCTTAAGGTTGAAAGCAAGATGTGTTTGTTGAATGGTATTTGTGTTAGAGTAAGGCCGTGAAACCTCCCACGTGTTATAATCTGGTCCTATGTGCTGCCAATAGATACGGCTCTCCTCCGTCCTCTGATTCCCATTGAGAACACATATCGTCTGCAAGACCTCCATCGACTCGAGCTCAAGTGCACCATCCTCATTGACGGGCGACATTGGAGTATGATCTTGGATAGTGGCTCCTCTGTACTTGCACAATTAGGACACATGGAATCTCGGATGAATGAGCGATGACGCGGATAATTGCAAGCGATACGCCACCGCCCCAACTTGGGCCTCCACTTGGTAAGGGCCAAAGTAGCGAGTTGCTAACTTCTTGTGTGTACACTTGAACATCAAAGTCTGCCTGTATGGGTAGAGACCTAATAGAACGCAATCCCAGTCCACGACCTCAAACTCCTCCTCCCAACGACCCAAATCCGGCCTGCTTCATTCAATTGTTGGTTGCTGCCAAGTTCGCCTTAACTGGTCCAATGTCACATCCCTCTCAGCAAGCCACTTGTCCATTACATCATCCGCACGGGTACTGGACTGATATCGAATCAACGATGGGGGTGTCCGCTCATAGAGTGCCTCAAAGGGAGTCATCTGTATCGCTCGATGATAAGTGGCGTTATACCACAGCTCCACCCAGGGCAACATCGCCAACCAACTGTGAGGTTGTTGATTTGCAAAACACTGCAGGTAGTGCTTCAGATACTTATTAACCTCCTCTGTCTGTTCGTCGCTTTGCGGGTGATATGTTGAACTCATCCACAATTCAGTGCTGGCCAACACAAAGACTTTCTGGCAAAACAACCCCAAGATCAAGGCATCCTTGTCGCCGACGATCGACCGCAGAAACCCATGATTGCCGCAACACCCCTGAAACAAACTGTTCTGCCACAGTCTTGGTCGTGTACTGGTAAACTAATGCCATGCAATGAGCATATTAGGTGAGTCGATCCAAATTGTCATCACTAGGACCATATGATGCCATATAACTAACTCTTGATCTTCTGCAGGGTGCGCTTGTGGCTTGAATACCCTTCTATCAGCGAATCATGGAACTCCCTGATCACCGAGGTCGTGAAGGTTGTTTCTGCTGGTAACACAACACACCCACACACACAAAAAAAAAAACCATGGCAAAACTCAAGCTCACCCGGTATTGTGTTGAGGGCTATGTCCTTGCACTTCTGCAAATATGGGTTGGACTCCATTACCCGCCTATCTTTATCCTAGAAACGTACTACACGACAGGATACTACAGCCATAATTGACATGATCTCAATCTGAGATAAGGGGTTTGCGACATTGTTAATGGGACCCGGTTTGTAGTGGAGCGCATAGTCATAACCCAACAACTTCACCACCCAATTTTACTAATCTAGAGTAGATATCTTTTGGTTGAGGAGATGGCGAGCATCTCCAAGTTTGTACTACAGTGGAGATGGTGAGCATCTCCTTTGGTACGTCGGCTAGGCCTCATTTGTTGGAGCCGGGTTCTTGCTCATGAATGCTATCAGGTGCCCATTATGAGACAAGACTGCCCCAATACTATGCCCAGATGCATATGCCTCAATGTCAAAGGGCCTTGAAAAATCCGGAAGGGCCAAAGTGAGTGTCGTGGTCATGACCAATGCAGTCAAAAGCGTGATTCTACCGAGAAGCGGAAAAGGGGCAAAATCGTAAAGCGTATAATTAAAGCGTAAAAATGTATGTTTTTGACGCATGCTGTAAATTAACTAAAAATCTATTAAGTACGACATATACTATATAAAATATGAGTGCACATAAGTTAGATAAGTTAATAAATACCTGTAATTCATGCCTAAAGTAGAACAACTTATAGTCTCTTAATAATAAGTTCATAAACATAAATCTTAACAATAAGCCACCGTCCCCTCTATGCTAATGAATTTGGGAAGAGCCTGTCTGGTGAATTTGATTACTCTATTGAAGCTAAGAATGCATCCAAGTACCTGATATGTACCTTTAATATCAAATGTAACATATTATTGGTAATTTACCTTTAATTTCATGAAAAGAATACTTATTTGGTGAACTAAAAGCGTAAAAACGTAAAACGTTTTGGTGAACAAGCGTAAACGCACAATTTCGTCCGATTTTATACACTAAAGTTTTTATACGGAAACGGAAGCGTTTTGCTAATCTAAAAGCGTAAAATCGTAAGTTTTTAAGTTTTAAAGCGCGATTTTTTGACTGCATTGGTCATGACGACCTTCACCATGCCGAATGCCTACTCTACCTTAGGATTCCAGCCGAACCCTTCTTTCTTCAACAGGTTAGTCAATGGGCCAGCTATGGAACTATAGTGCTTCAGAAACTTTTGGTAGTAACCTGCAAATCGATTATCGCCTGTACCTTCGTGGATCAACTCATACCCACTATGATAAGATGATATGTCCTAGATAATCCACTTCATGTACCCCAAAAGTACATTTTGATGCCTCGGCAAAGACCTGGTTCTTCTTCAAGATCTCGAACACCTGTTCTTCTCACAATGGAGTATAAATAGTGATATCACAAGAAAATACGAGCACAACCTGCGCAGAAATGGCCAAAAGATTCTATTCATGGCTACCCAAAATGTCGATGGTGTATTGTAGAGTCCAAACAGTATCACAAAGTACTCATAATGCCCACTATGTGTGAGAAATATCGTCTTGTGAATGTCCTATTCATGCATCCGGATCTAACGATATCATGTTCTCAAATCCAGTTTGGTGAAGGAGCGAGCTCTCCTGAGCTCATCCAACATATCCTCAACTGTTAGAATCTCAAACTTGTGGCCTCATTCAGGGCCCTATAGTCTGTGCAGAATTGCCAGGTGCCATATTTTTTTATTAACTAACAGTACTGGTGCAGAGAAAGGACTGAAACTATGCCTGATCAATCATGTGGTCTACATCTCTCTATATGTCACTCTACTTAGGCCTTGTACGAGTGAGCTTATTTGTACAGGCGTACATTCACCGTATCTGTCCCCTCCTTTAATCAAATCCGATGATCCACTAGGCTAGCTGGGGTAGTTGTTAGGGTTTCTCAAACAGGACCGTGTAGCTGTCGAGCAAGAGATGTAACTCGGGCGCTATTATCGACCCCTTCATGTTGCTATCAGCTAGTAGGTCACTGCAATCTAGAATCCTTCTGTTAGCTGCTGATCCTCCCCCGCTAATTGGTTCGTGGCCCGGAAGCAGTGGTCATGACTTGTAATTCCCACTCTTTATCATTCCACTTTCAACTTCATACTCATTTTTGTCCAATAACTGATGACCAGACCCAGACTCTTCAACAATGGCAAGCCTAATATCACATCAAAACCTTGCAATTGCAATGAAAACAAATACGTTGTTACCTCTAGGCCTTGAATCTGGAGGGGGAAAGCTGAGTACTAGTGGTCGCACTCCAGGGCAACGTCGTTTGTCTCCTTAACTGTGAATGATTTTACTTGTCGCGCCGCCACTCTGAGCGCACTGGAGAAATCCTGTCCCACGAATTTAACCGACACCTCGCTGTCCACGAGCGCGATCGAGGGACCCCCTAGCCAACGCTAGGAACCTCATCCCCATCGGTCCTACAATTCTGGCTATGACCAATGGGAAAAATAAAATGCATTTAATTCTCCATCTTTAGATTTGAATTTTCCGGGTCCACTTAAATTTGATGGCTGCGATTTGGTTACTCATTGGTCAGTAACCAGGGGTTACTGACCATATCCTAACCATGTAGAAGTGGTTTCATTAGGGGTGTACATGGATCGGGTGGTCTAGATTTAACCATTTTAATCACCCGATTAAAATTTCTAATGAATAAACCGAGGTGAAAGGTATCAAAATTCACAAATGTTGTTTGAATTTTAATAAAATGTGATTTACTTCAACATATGTCTAGT